TTTCTTTTTATTGAGGGTGCTTCCCACGTAGCTTGGTGGTAGAGAATCTGCCTGCAAGTGCAGGAGACACAGGTTTGATCCCTGGGTTGGGAAGATCCTCTGGAGTAGGAAATGGCAACCTGCTGCAGTCATCTTGCCTGGAAGATTCCATGGACAGAGGAGCCTGGTGGGCTACAGTCCGTGGGGTCGCAGAGTCGGACATGACTGAGCACATAAGCACATGTTGTTCTGGATATTTTTTTTAATCAAATAATTAGATTTGCAGATATTTCCCTTGGGCTGTGGCTTTTTACTTTTTCTTAATGATATCTTTGAAAGTTTAGCAGTAGTTTTTAATTTTGATGAAGACTAGGAGATCAGGTGGTCTTTTTTTCTTCCTTTGTGCTTATCTAAGAACGCTTTGCTTATCCCAGGATCATGTTTTCTTTGTCTTTTTTTGAGCTTACCCCAGGTGGCTTATGGGATCTTAGTTCTCTGACCAGGGATGGAATCTGGCTCCTTGGTTGTGAAAGCATATGAATCCTAATCACTGGACTGCCAGGGAATTCCCCAGGTTTTGCTTTTATATCTGCGTGTGTAAGCCACTTTGAGTTAATTTCTGTGTACAATGTGAGTAAAGGTCTAGTTTTGGAGTTTTTTCCTTGGTCTGTGGCTACTCAGTTGCCCCTGCACTATATGTTGAAAAGACTCTCCCTGTTGAATTCTCTTGGTGTGTTTATTAAAATCATTTGACCTTAAATGTAAGGGTTTACTTCTGAATTCTCAGTTCTCTTCCATTGATCCATTAATGTCTATGTCTACCCTGCCAGTGCCCCCACTGTCGTGATTAGTTTAGCTTTTTAATAAATTTTGAAACGAGATAGTATAGATCCTGCAACTTGTTATTTTTCAAAACTATTTTGGCTATTCTAGGTTCTTTGTATTTCCATATAAATTGTAGGAACAGAGCATCAGTTTCTAAAAAAAAAGAAACACCGCAAAAATCCCTTCTGGATAAAGTTATCTTTAAAGGAACAGTGTGTTAGTATTTTTATAATATTTCAAGCATTCTATATGCATGGTGCTCCTTTGTCATTTGGACTTTATATTATTGTGAAATCTAGGGCAAATCTGGTCTTTATTCTTTGGCAGTGGTTGTGCTTTTTATTTTCCTGCCTTAATCCTTTTAGGATTTTTTTCCTTTATGCTGAAGATGTTTAATCTTCTAATTCATTATACATGGACCACATGCCTTTCAATTTGGAGCTGTAGAAATATTTTCAATCCAGAAAGATTTTTTGTTGGTTTCTTTTTTTCTTTATACTGGTGATTATTATTTCTGTTCTGTTTCTTCTGATTTTTTCTTTAAGAAGTATTATTTAAGCATTGGTTCTTAGTTTTCCTTTTTTAAAAAATCATCTTTCATCATTTTCTCTTTTTTGAATGGTGAGAATTCCTCAGGCAAACTCAACTACTGAACTCTGCACTTTGAACCACTGAACTCACGCACTTTGTCTCAGTTATCTCCCATTCCTAATGACTGACATTGTATATACTCAGTAATCATTCAGTTATTGAATTAATAGTTTCTTATCATTCCTTTTATCACTGTTACCTGTCTTATGCTTGCTTTTACTGTTTCACTGTTTGCAGCATTACTTCTTCATTTATGGCTGCACTGGATTTTCATCGCGGGCATTGGCTTTCTTCTAGTTGCGACAAGCAGGTGCTGTTCTCTTCTTGTGGTTCTCAGGCTTCTCATTGCTGTGGTTTCTCTTGTTGCAGAGCACAGGCTTTAGGGCACATGGGTTTCCGTAGTTGCAATTTGAGGGCTCTAGAGTGCGGGCTCAGTAGTTGTGCCACACAGGCCCAGTTGCCCCGCAGCATGTAGAATCTTCTTGGACCAAGGATCGAACCCGTGTCCTCTGCATTGGCAGATGGATTCTTATCCACTGAGCCACCAGGGAAGTCCTTGCAATATTTTAAAACTTATAGTAGATTGATTTTGGGGCTTGCCTGGTGGCTTAGATGGTTAAGAATCTGCCTGCAATGCAGGAGACCTAGGTTTGATCCCTGGGTTGGAAAGTTAATTGGGGAAAGGAATGACACCCCACTCTAATATTCTTGCCTGGAATATTCCATGGACGGAGGAGCCTGGTGGGCTATAGTCCATAGGTTCGCAGAATTGGACATGACTGAAGTGACTTGGCACACACGCACACAGATTGACTTTTGCTCATTGACTTGGAAATAAAAAATTTCATCAGCCTTTTATTTTATTTTATTTTATTTTTCGTCAGCCTTTTAAATATGTCCATCTTTTGTATATATTTGGTCTTAAGTCAGGTGGGAAGTAGTGATTCACCTATCGAGCATCTACATTTGGGATGTTATTCTTTGAATGTAAGTATAGGATACGAGCGTAGCATCATTCTTTAATGATATTCTTTACTCTGATGAGAAGTCCACTTTTAATACATCTGAAGCATTGTGTTTCACCAATACAACATTGTAAATCAACTGTATTTCAGTTTAAATACATAAAATATTATCTCTCTCTTTAAAACACACTCCTAGTCTCATCTTCCAGTCATCAAGTTTATCCATCTCTAAATCTTTTTAATGTGTCCTTTTAACATTAGTTATGCTATTCATGGCACTGTTTGTACTTTAGTATGACAGTATTAGCAATTTTATATCATCTACCAATTCCTGCTGATATTTTTATGTGCCTGTCTTTAGTTTTTATGATAGTTGATTTTATACTTTTATTTTTCCCTTCTGTGTAATTATTTGGATGACATAATGGGATAAATTTATGATTCATGTGCACTATCTTTTTGGCGGGAAATAATTTGTTTTATCAGTTTTATCTGATTCTAGAATTCAGATAATTTTTCAGTGAAGTACTTGGTGATAAATCAGTGCTTGCCTGTAGGCCAAAATTTTTTATATGTATAATCTCAACCCTTGAGGACTTCATAATCCTGATGTTGAGTGGTTTATGCTTATGTAATTTCTTGAGCTTTCTTTTAGTTGAATGATTTTTCTTTATCTTGTTTTCTCTTTCAGTACATGAACATAAAACTTACATTTTATAAAATTTGTCTTGTTTGGCAACAGAGTAGTATTGTTTTGGGTTCATTTTTAGTTTTCTGTCCTTTGTTTTCTTTTCGCATCTTTACCTCCTCTATTATTCTTCAGCGCTTTTGGGATACTTTCTAAGCATGTCATCTTTATTCATCACTGATTTAATTTTGTGTATTGTCACATAGCTTATTCTGTCTTCATAGCATACAGATTTAATTTTCTGTGTAAAGTATCATCATGGATTTTTATTACATACCGCTTTTTCTTTTAACTTGTTGGTATATCCATCTTTTTACTTATATCTCTTCTTCACAAACCACCCCCGGTTGTAGTGCAATACAATGCTTTTTAATTAAAACCCACTTCTGAACTTTGAAAGTTCAGGGAGAAAGGGAGAAAAAAAAAGCAAGGGAACAGAAAGGAAAGAGCAGCAGTTATCGCATGGCCTCACCGTGTGTGAACTCGGGCTAGTTTGGGTGTATTCAAGACCTTCTTCTGTGGCAGCACTTCCCTGGTGGCTCAGACAGTAAAGCGTCGCCTACAATGCGGGGGACCCAGGTTTGATCCCTGGGCTGGGAAGATCCTCTGGAGAAGGAAATGGCAACCCACTCCAGTACTCTTGCCTGGAAAATCCCATGGATGGAGGAGCGTGGTAGGCTATAGTCCATGGGGTTGCAAAGAATTGGACAGGACTGAACGACTTCACTTTCACTTTCTTTCTTCAGTGTCACAAAGAGCCTGTGAACCACCAGTGATGTTTGATACAGACCTGGGGATGATCTAGCAGGAAAAGAAAGAAGTTTCCTGTTCTTAAAACCTACTATCTCAGATAGACAGGGTCCTGTGTATAGCACAGGGAACTCTGTTCATTATCTTGTAATAAACTATAATCACAAATAAAATGAAAAAGAATATATATTAAAGAATATCTTTGCTGTATACCTGGAATTAAAACATCATTGTAAATCAACTATACTTCAATAAAAAATGAATAAATCAATAAAAACAATATTTATAAAAAAGGAAAAACCTGCCATCTCACAGTGGAGCCTGTTAACCACTGCCAAAATGTTTAGGCAAATTTATGATCAAATATGTGATGGCTCCTTCTTTTTAAAAAAATTTAAAATTCAGCTTTAATTTTTAAAGCTGAAAGCTGAAAATCTCACCTTTTGTTATATAGCATTTTATATTTGATTGGACTGGTAAAATAAAAAGATCAGTATTGAGGACCATTCATCTTGTAAACAGTGTTTTTAAATTTTTTCTTATACATTTCCATATAGATTTATTCTTGGTCATTTAAGTGATAGGTATGCTTTTTTTTTTTCCATTTATTTTTATTCGTTGGAGGCTAATTACTTTACAATATTATAGTGGTTTTTGCCATACATTGACATGAATCAGCCATGGATTTACATGTGTTCCTCATCCCAATCCCCCCTCCCGCCTCCCTCTCCATCCCATCCCTCTGGGTCTTCCCAGTGCACCAGCCCCGAGCACTTGTCTCATGCATCCAACCTGGGCTGGTGATCTGTTTCACCCTTGACAGTATACTTGTTTCAGTGCTGTTCTCTCTGAACATCCCACCCTCTCCTTCTCCCACAGAGTCTAAAAGTCTGTTCTGTATATCTGTGTCTCTTTTTCTGTAGGTATGCTTTTTATTTTAATTTTTTTCTCCTATAATCATGCCTACATTTTAATAATTAAATCTATGGCACTTGCTAAAATAGCTTCTGGAAAAGTTTAATGTGCTACATGCTGGTAAAAAGAGGCATATCATTTGCTGATGTCGTTTAGCAGCCACTAGGTACGCAAGAGATAGAAAAAAAAGTAACCTGAGATATGTACTAATAATGGATTTGATTATACTAGCTGGGTTTTTTTTTCAGTATCATTTAAAAAGTTTTTGTTGTTCTATTTTTATTCAGATGACAGAAAGTAATTTTTCGTTGAAGAAGATAGAAATTAGTGTTTCAGAAGCAGAAAAGCGAACTGGAAGAAATGCCATGAACATGCAGGAAACATATACTGCTTACCTCATTGAAACAAGGTGAGTGATGAGAATTATGTCTGAAGTTAGAAAAAGCTTTGGTAGCTGTTGATGCAAATTCTGTTGTATAGTGGAATCATTTACAAGTCATTGTCTTTTTGTTTCTTTACTTTTTAACAGGTGACCGGGTTTTCTTTTACCCTGGTACTCTAGCTAAATTTGAATGTATTTGTTTTGGAGGGAGAACGAAGGTTACTGGATGTTACTTGGTGCTTGCTTTAGTGTCAAGTAACATCCAGATCCCATCCACATCACAGGCCTGCCCATGCGGGATACACGGGTTCATCCCTGTTTGGGAAGACCCCACGTGCCTCAGAGTAACTAAGCTCATGTGCCACAACTACTGAGTCTGTGCTCGAGAGCTCGGGAGCCATGACTTCTGAGGCCACGCGCCACAACTACTGAGGCCCGCCCCCTAGAGCCTGTGCTCCACGGCAAGAGAAGCCACTGCGCACCGCAGCTAGAGGAAAGCCCACGCAGCAGGGAGGACTCCGCACAGCCATAAGTAAGGTTATTTACTTCAGAAACTCACCAGAAAAGTCTTTTACTTCATAAGCAAAAAGTTAAATGAGTTAAACTGTTTTGTCCAGAGAAAAGCAAAGGGTGTGTGTGTGTGTGCAGTCATGTCTGACTCTTTGTGACCCACCAGGCTTCTCTGTCCATGGGATTCCCAGGCAAGAATACTGGAGTGGGTTGCCATTTCCTTCTCCAGGGCCTCTTCCTGACCTAGGGATCGGACCCACATTTCCTGCATTGGCAGGTGGATTCTTTACCACTGTACCACCTGGGAATTTTGCTTATTATAAATAGTTTATATCAAGACTACACCGACAAGCTCTTTTCTGTGTGTGAGCTGAGAAGCAATACTTTCAGTTAAAACAAGTAGGGGGGGCTTTCCTGGTAGTCCATTAAGACTCCATGCTTCCAGTGCAGCGTGTGCAGGTTTGATCCCTGGTTGGGGAAATTAGATCCCACATGCTGTGCAGTGTGGCCAAAATATTTAAAAAAAATTAATAAAAAAGTATAGTCCATATTTTTTAAAGAAAAGTAGAGGGACTTGCCTGGTGGATCAGGGAAGTATCCTGCCTGTGTACATACATGCATATGTATCAGAGACTTTTAAGTCAATTTTTAAAAAGTATGGTCCCATGAGAGGTTTTTTTTTTTTTTTTTTAGTTTAATTAGCCATTTTAAAATATCATACTTTAGAAATTTGTATTGGCTCTAGCTTTTTAAGTAAATTCTTAAATTTAAAACTAAAAAGGATATTTTTAGTATATGCCTGTTTCTTCATCCAGTTCAACAATGAAATTAGCTGTTGATTAACTTTACTGCTAGAAGAACCTCTTGATTTCAATAATCTGGAATAATTTATAGCTGTTTACTCTATTTATTATAGTTGTTTACTCTTGACTTTGAAATGAATAGAGAATTATAATTCAAAAGTTGGAGTTAGAAGTGACCATACATGAGTAATATAGCTAGCCTCTGGATAAATATCTAGGAACATCAGTGAATAATGTGGTACACAAAAGGATATTGAGTTGACTGTCACACTTATATTTCATTTATTTTAAAACAGTGATTCTTAAACTTTAAAATATATAGGAATCAGCTGAAAAATTTGTTAAGCTACAGAATTTTGAGTGGGGTCCAGGAATTAACACATTTTAAGCTTAAGTTCCAGGTGTTTTTGAAGCAAATAAGCCATGGACCATAGTTTTATCTTTCAAATACAAAAGCTTTACATTTTAAGATAGTCAAATTTATCTTTTTTCTTTATAAGTTGTGTTTTCCCTGTCTTAAATTCTTGCCTATCCCATATCATATGCACATCCACTTTGAAAATTACTGTTTATAGATAGTTTATAAATAATTTTGTCAGCACTGTAACTGACCTTCAGCAGCCACGGAACCCTGGAATTTATTATTTTGGTCATGTAGAATTCTTGCTGTAATTCAGTGTTATGCAGAGTATCTTCGACACTATAAATATTGTTGAGCCTTGACATTGACTAAAAGTTCAACTTTATCACATAGCTCATCAACCTACTCTGTGGACACATGAAGAAAGTCAGTTTAGCAGTTGCCTATCGTGTTACAGTTTAATAGGCTAAGGGTTAATAAGGCTAAGGTCATTGATTTTGATTTCTCCAGGGATTTCTATGTTTTGCTGTTCATTCAGTATGAACCCTTTTAAAATAGGTAAGAACACTGTGTGTATTAACAGGTAAGATGCCTCTTTTGTCTTGGGAAGCTGTATGATGTCTTTCCTGAATTCTTCTAATTTGTAAAGCAGGGCTAAAGATCCTGTATACTTTGTCATATTAAATGGTTTAAACGGTTACATTTAATTTAAATATTGCATGTGAAACCAATTATGTGCTGTTAAACATTTATTAAATAATTGGATAAATGGGGTAGTTTTGTGGTCCAAAGAAAGTCTTCTCTATGCTTTTAGGTGGCTTCCGCTGACTTCTTTTTGTGGGCTTTGAAATAAAACAAAGCAAAAACAACTTGTAACAGCTCTTCTAACAGCCTTTAGGTGTACTGCCTATAGGCTATATTTATCTACTTTTTAGCAAGATTTGGGCTCTGTTGGTAATAATTTTGAATAATTTGAAACTTGATATTAACCCAAGATATGTTTTTTTAGCTGAAGTCGAAAATCTGAATTAGAACAGTTTTAGTCAGCTAATGGTTAGGTCAACTCTTTAAAATGAATTATCATTTAATAATCCTGTATCTTGCCATGAAAACCATTTGTATATTTTGAATTTCATATTGTTTCCCTTTTTAATTAATATACAGTGAATTAATTTAGAAAACGATATATAAATAATAAAAACAATGAACATCTTGTGTTGAGCATGGTGTGGTGTATCCATTTTCTCGAGACTTTATTCTGAGACTGATTTAGCCTCTCTGCCTTTATACTGTACTTGCACAAATGCACATTTTGGTTATATGCATGTTTCTTGGAGGATCTGTAAGTTATTTTCTATTAGGAAATGGGAAGGTTCCAATAATGTTTAGAAGGCTGATGTTTTCTAATAGTCATTATGCTAGCAGAAATGATAAATAGTCAAAATAATTTCAAATATTATTTTTATGATTTTACCCAGCTTTCCCCCAAATTGAACTTTTATATGGATGACTCATGGCATTACCTGCAGCTCTTTATATTAAATATAAGACTAGAATTAATTTGTTACATCCCTTCTTGCCGCTCTTTGACAGTTTACTTTTGTGGATCTTTTCTGGCACTTGGATGCATCTGATTTTTTGATGATGTTAAATTGAGGATTTTTTTGGTGTCATGGTCTTTGGCATGAATGTTGTTCTGTCATTGTGGCAGGAGTTGTTCTTTCATTGTGAGAGTTAAAAGTACTTTTTTCTTTAATGAAACACTGGTGAAGCCAGACTCTTACTATATTATAAAGCCAGCCATTATGTTAACCGAATTATCTTATGTTGAGGCTTTTGTTGAGAAGAATATTCCTAATATGACTATTTCTCTCAAGTTCAAATAGGTTTTCTATAATGGAGGACAGTGGTTAGGAGTGAGGGCTTGGGAATCAGATGGATCTGAGTGCTCTACCCACAAATCTTTGTGATTGAAGGAAGAGCATATACCATGCAGCTGCTTTCTCATCTGTGAAATGGGGACAGTAATCCCTGCTTCACCAGGTTTGTTGTAGGAATTAAATAATACATGAAAAGTTCTCAGTGCCTGGTTCATAGCCCTCCTGGTTCATAAGCATTCAGTAAATGGAGTTACCAGTTTTAAAAGGAGGTCGTATGCATGCATTTGTATTTTTAAAAAACACTAGAAATCTTATTCTGTCTTTTTCAGGTCAGTTGAACATAGTGATGGTCAGAGTGTCCTAACAGACTCACTGTGGAGGCGGTGTAGTGCATTTGAGTGGTTGAGAAACTACCTTTTAGTTTACTATCCACATATTGTTGTGCCACCTCTACCAGAAAAAAGGGTAAGGAGTGAAGTGGTGGTGTAGTTTAGAAGTAGTTAGCATTGAGACTATTCTTCATGATTGTTTTGTTTATCTAGGCAGAATTCGTTTGGCATAAACTCTCTGCTGACAACATGGACCCGGATTTTGTGGAAAGACGACGAATTGGTTTAGAAAATTTCCTCTTGAGACTTGCTTCACATCCCATCCTTTGTAGAGACAAAATCTTCTATTTGTTTTTAACACAGGTATTTTTCTTTTATTTAGTCTTTTAAAAAATTTCATTTGACTTGGGATTTTTAAAATTTTAAATTGTGGAGTGCTTCTTCTTAAGGATTCTCTTGGAGCTGCCCTTTGTTAATTTATATGTATTTCATGGTTTGTTTTGAATTTCCAAAGTATTACATCATTCTTCTGGCTAACATTTTTATACTTAAAGATACTAAAGATTGTACTTTTTGGTATCACTTAAATGGTATGAAAGTTAGTCTTTAGTGTTTTGAATCCCAGATCTATAAAATCTTGGGGCTGTCTCTGGTAATCTTTTGGAATCTGGATTGTATGTGTAATTTTGCAGTGAAAAGAATTCTTTTTTAACCCCTCTTCCCCCATCTCCCATGAGGGAAGAACAGAATGATGGGTATTTTATTTGGGATATTACTTATGGGCTATTTTACAGTGATATCTAAAGTTACCTTTAATTTTTAGGAAGGCAACTGGAAAGAGACAGTAAATGAAACTGGATTTCAGCTGAAGGTAAGGGTAATTGTTATGAAATAATTTGTCATGTCTGTTAACAATTTCTAGCCCAGTGCCATGCGTTAATGGGTACCTGCTGTTTATTGGAAGTGAATGTTGTATGAGTGAATATTGGAAATAGGCTTTACAGCTAATATCACTGGTAAAGTTTTTAAAGAAACAATGCAGTTTATTTTTGATTGGTGTAATTTTTGTTACTAGTGAGACTATAATGGACATATTTATGTATGAATTTAATTCTCTTGGGAAAGAACATTTTGAAACAATAATTTAGGTGTAAGTTAGATTTTTCCCACAGTATGGTCATATTATGCTTTTTATGTTTTTTTCTTTCTTCTGTCCTTATCACGGTCACTGTCAGTGGTGTCCGCATAATTGCTCACTCTGTTAGATAGAAAAGACACTTCTAAAGGGTTGAACTTGGGTTTTCCTATCTTAGTAGGCTAAAAGAGTAGTCATCAGTCACGCTTATTTTGTATACTGAGACAAGGTGGCCAGTTTTGAGTGGGCATGGGATTCATTTTGTATCAGTGATATAGGTTTAATTAGATTTTGATTGCTTATCATATTTGACCATTAGAAGTTAGTGTTTGGGAATGGAACTGTTTCCTAAAAATTAAGGAGCGTGTCAGTCATAAGGTGACTGCCCTCACTCTGCTCTGCTCTCCCCTCCCTCTTGTTTCCAAAAGTAATTTAACATTGCAGATGTTTAAGTTTTCATCTCTTATGTAAACAGAATTAGGTAAGAAGAAAAAGTAATATAAATTGATACATAAGTTGATAAACAGTTCATATGATATTGCAATAACAGAAGTTCAGTAGATTTAGGCAGCAAGAACAGAATGTCTTTACAGTAATTTTAAGAACTAGAGATTAATGCATTGGCATATAGGTGTTTTAATTTTAACACAAAAAGACAGCAGAAAATGTTTTTTTCTTCACAGAAAATGTAATTAAGTGTCTAATATTTTCATAAACCAATTTTAACTTACTGGTTCAACTTATGAGTTATCTGAAACTCCAGATAACATGAAAATTAGTATTTTCTTAGCTATAACTCACTGTGGTGCTCAAAAAGAGAATAATGGAATTTTAAAGATGATTTGAAATAACTGTGACTTTAAAAAATTGTTTATATTTTGATAGAATTTTATGAGAACTAGTCCATGATTTCTTAGGAGCTAATATTAAAGAAAAGAACAAACTGAAATATTTTTTTGGGTAATGTCTCTTTATATAATAGAAAATTTAAAAACTTTTAGTCATTGTTTTAGTCATTATTTTAGTAACTGGTTCTCAGTTGTTTTTCCTTAGCGCAGTTTTTGTGGGTAACTGGGTGGCCTTGAGAAAATTCATGAATTTCCTCATCCATTTAGACTCTTCTGTTTACAGAGTGCTTTGAATCTTGTGTGTCAATGCTACCTAAGTGTTTAGATACGATGTTTTATATTTGGGTAGCCTTATGGTAAAATCCTAGTTTCACTTTTATAAAATCTTTGAAAGGTAATACTCTGTACACAGTATTAGTAATTTGAAAAATAGAAATTGAAATGGACTAGACATAAAATGTATAGGGAAAATTTGGAAAAACTTGCAAGGAAATGGAACCTTTTGGACTAACACATGCCTGTACATTCATGCATACATTTAAGCATGTACATGCATCTCTGTATGTCTATATATATATAGACAGGCTTCCCTGGTGGCTCAGAGGTTGAAGTGTCAACCCTTCCAGGGTTGGGAAGATCCCCTGGAGAAGTAAATGGCAACCCACTCCAATATTCTTGCCTGGAGAATCCCAGGGACAGAGGAGCCTGGTGGGCTACGGTCCACGGGGTTGCAAAGAGTCGGACATGACTAAGTGACTTCACTCCACTTCACTTCATGTATGTATAGAGAGAGAAAGACTCACTTCTCTTATCTAGAGATTGTGTATTTGGTAGTTTTAACTAACGTGATCACAGTCAAAAGGTGGGATTTAGAACTGACTTCTGAGATGTTCAGATGGGTGTGACATAACTTACTACACTGCTTACAGATATACTTTGGTCCTTTCAGATAGTATCCAATTAATTTTATTGTAGTTATCCAGACAAACTTGACTATTTTTAGTCTGCAGCCTACTAGAAAGTTTTAAAGGTCTAAAGGTGAATACTGCTGGAGATAGGCATACTGTGACAATAGTGAGAATTGACAGCTGAGGCTGCTGGTAAAGTATAACAGTGACATGAGAGTCAGACACTGCAGTACTGGGGTCTGTGGCATGGTGCCAAATCCCGACACACCTTTGTAGCCTCTCGTGCTTCATTGCATCACAGGTGGATTCAGTATTAGTTGTTTATAGTGGTTACTTTGAGGCTTCCAGAAAAGGTTGAATTGCTGGCTGAATACTTATAATTCAGTGTTTTTTCTTCTTCTTCTTTTTAGCATGCAACTAGTTTTTTGATGTAAAAAAATTTTTTTAAATTCAATGTTTCTTCAAGTGTGGTCAGTTGGCTTCATGAGTCTCAATTTGTTGGGATTGTTCAGAATATTGAATCCTAGAGTTCATTGCAGACATACTGACTCCCATGGGCCTAAAACTTGACAAACATTGTTGTAAGATGACAGATAAGAATGTTTTTAGGAAGATAATTTTAAAAGATTATCAAAATTGGTAAGAAAAAAAAGTTTAGAACAAAAAGAAGCATTTTGTCTGAATATCATTAACATTAAATGTTTACTATGTGCTTAAGCACTGTACTCTGATACAGTGTTCATGCTTTTTTTGCTGGCAGTTGCTTCAGTACCTTTGAGGTTAGTTCAGTATTATCCCAGCTTTTTAGGTCAGGAACTTGAGAAAGTGACTTAATCCACAGTCATATAGTTATAAGTGATAGAGGCTGAATTCAAGTCCAGGCCTTCTTAATTACCATTCTGTATTACTTATCTTTTCACTAGCTACTTACATAATTAATGTATATAAAGATGGTTGGTAAAGGAATGTTGGAAACTATATTTCAGTGAAAATGAGATTGTTCTGAGTCAGACTGGAGCTAATATAGTGTTATAGGTCAATAATACTGCAATTAAAAAAAAGAATATTTGAACTTGGCTATTGGATTGTCATCATCAAATTGAAATAATAGCTTTAATTTCTCTCTTCTAGACATGTTTAATCTGTAGTTTGGGCCTAAGAGTTTACATTCTCTTAAATATTTTTAGAGTATCACACTCAGCAAGATAATTGTAAAAATTTAGTTGTATAAAAGTCTGTGCTTTATTTTTTTTTGGCCATCCTACATGACTTGTGGGATCTTGATTCCCCAACCAGGGGTTAAACATTCAATGGACACCCTTGACAGTGAGAGCACAGAGTTCGAACCACTGGACCACTAGGGAACTCTCTCCCCTCCCCCCACCTTCCCACTCTTGTTCTTCATTTAACACAAATATGAGCAACAGACTTTTTCATCACTGTTGTATATTGGCATTCCTTTGTTTTTCTTGAATGTCTATATGATACTTTTGTTAATTCACTGAAGGGAGATCAGAGAGCTTATCTTTCGAGTAACGAACATATTAACTAGTTACTTTAATTTAAAGAAATACCAATTTAACCCAGTTACATGAAAGTAAGTGTCATCCATATGCCCCAATCTTAAATGAATTTATACTTCCCTGAATTTAGGGAAGTATCTAGAACCTTGTTTGTTGCCTGGAGCAGGAACTGCCAGAGACAAGATCTGAGCCTTTAGGATCTCTGCTAAATCTGGAGATTCCAGATGCTAGGTACCTACAGACTGTCGGATACTCTTCTAGGTGCTGTGGATCCAACTGTGAATAAGCTGGAAACATTCATAAGCTCTATGTTCTTATGTTCTTATGGAGCTTATACTGAAGTAGTTGAAGACTTTAAATTTACATCTGTTTAAGATACTTTGAAAGTTATAGGTGATAAAAAAGAAAACAGTTATTGTGAGAGAATCTGACAGCTGGAATTTTTTCCCCAGGGGTTATTTTGAGATATGACAGTATAATATATTGTTCAAATGGAGACAGTTTTGAGAATAAAAAGAGGCTCTGCTAATAATTAGGTTAGGACAGCAGGTGTAAACCAGTACTGTTCTGGGCAAACTGGGTCACATGGTTGAAGAGAACATTTGAGCTGAGACCTGAATAATGAGAAGCCTGCAGTGAAGTCAGCCTAAGGGGTCAAGGAAGAAGACTGTTAGAGACAGGACACACAGGTAATGGTTTACGAGGTAAGGTTTGGAGGAAGGTAAGAATCTGAAAATGAAATAGAGGAAAGACAAGGTCTAGGACAAGAGAAGTATAATATGTAATAGGAATTGGAAAGGGAAAGGGAGGTGGGGATTGAAGAATATGGGAAGGTAGTAAGTTGGGACTGTAGAGTAGTCGGGGTTTTTTCCATCCATCCAGTGTACTTAGTGCATGTTTTTCTTGTGCCGGGCATTGAGAAGTGCTGGGGATACAGGAATGAAAATGCAGTTTAAAGTAGTGCCATGGCGGCTGTTGTGCAGCTCTCGGGGCCCCATTCACATTGTGTTTTTCCTCGTGGCTCTTATATTTTCACGGACAGCTAGGAAACAAGCAAACGACCCAGGGGATTTCAGACGGTGCTGTAGTGAAGGAGACAGAGTAGGGTGGTGTGAAACAGTGGTGTGAGGGCTTCTTTAGGTATTTAGTGGGGAATCTGATAAGATGGATGAACGGTAACCTGTCAAATTTGGGTAGGGCTTCTCTTGTGGCTCACCTGGTAAAGAATCCGCCTGCAGTGTGGGAGACCTGGGTTCAGTCGCTGGGTTGGGAGGATCCCCTGGAGAAGGGACAGGCTACCCACTCCAGTATTCTGGCCTGGAGAATTCCATGGACTGTATAGTCTGTGGGGTCACAGAGTCGGACACGACTGAGTGACTTTCACTTAGTGATCTAGCTGTGGGGAGAAGTTGCTAATTTGATGACATTTTAGGCAGTTTCTCTTTTTATGGAATCTTGTGAAATGATGAGCAGATTGAGTGGGGTATTATAGTGGACTGACCTGACAGTGTTTGATAAGCAAGGTTAGGATGGTGATGGTTTATACTTTATATGCCTTTATAGTGGTAAATTGGTAATATTAAAAGTAAAAAATAAATTGGTGGTATTCAGTATGAGATTCAGAAAAAGATACACATGAAAATTTTCTATTTTTACTGATGGGTTTTATATAATTTCATCCTTATTTAAAGAATCTTATTTGCCTGTGCCTATAAAATCATTAACACATTGGTAATTTGAAATCACTTAAAGAACACAAGGGAGTAATATATGCCTTAAATTCTATATGCTGTAATTGAAAGGACTTTCACATACATTAGCTCCTTTGCCTTTCAGATGTAAGAAATGTCAAGAATTGGTAAAATATCCTTTTATTTATTAAAAACTTTTTTTTTTTTTTGGGCCATGCCATATGGCGTGTGGGATCCTCATTTCTTAACCAGGGATCCAACCTGTGCCCCCTGCATTGGAAGTGTGGAGTCCTAACCCCTGGACCACCAGGGAAATTCCTAAAATATATCCCATTTTAGAAATAAGAGAATCCCCTGAATTCAATGACAACTTAAGCTTTAGATATTCTTGATAGCTCTTTGAATTGCTTTTGGTCTAAAGTTTTAGGATGCTGGATTTGTGGAGTGGTATATTTATTGCAGGGTTTTTTTTTTTTTTTTTTAAGCTATGTAATCTGGGAAGCCTTAGTTCTGGTTTGTTTGTTTTATTATTTGGGGAGTATTTGTAATTAGGTTTTGTAAGTTGGAATGATATTAAATGTTCAGGATGATTGGTATTTTCAAAACCAAATCATGTTATAAAATTGTTAACTGATTGAGCTACCTTTTGTGAATCCTATGTTTTTTGTGCCTTGGTCAGGGGGGAAAAATACATTTATTTATATATTTTAAATGAGGACATAGACAAAGAGGATAAGATTTGGATATATTAAGTATAAGTTTATACAATGAAATTATTATTTAGTGTTGATCCCTCTGTCCCTCCTTTGAAATAAGGTAGAAGTGAAAGGGTTTCCCAGGTAGCTCAGTGGTAAAGAATCTGTCTGCCAACACAGGAGATGTGAGCTCTATCCCTGGGTCAGGAGAATCCTCTGGAGAAGGAAATGGCAACCCACTTCAGTATTCTTGCCTGGGAAATCCCATGGACAGAGGAGCTTGGCTGGCTGTAGTTCACAGGGTTGCAAAGATTTGGACACCACTTAGCGACTAAGCAGCAGCAGAAATAAGTAAAGGTAGTTAAATAGTTGTGTCAGAATATCTAGAAATAAGTAAAGGTTGTTTAAGAGTTGTGTTGTAATGTTTTATGTCAGCTAAAAAGGAATTAGTTTGATGTCATCTAGCTTGTTTTAATTTAGTCCAGGCATTTTCATATTTCTTTCTTTTCTAAAATTCTGATCATGAAAAGGAGAAAAACCAGTGTACATTTGGTTTAGGTTCCATCTGAGAATCTGTCAGTAATGCACAGGCTTCAAAGCAATAATTTTATTTAGTTTATATATACAGATCATTGTTCTTGATTTAGAGAAAAAGTAAACTACTTTTTGACACAACCTATTCTGAGTTATTATAATGCAGAGCTGTATGCTTGCTTGTCTGTTGGTATTTACAGTTGTTTTACTTTGGTATCATTGAATGTCATGTATTTATAATATTATTTTTGCAGTGTTTAAAAAAATAACTACTAGGTGTTTTTTGGGATATGTTTAATGTGTTTGACACAAATAATATGAAGAAAAGTATACTTGAATAGCTTAATTCTAAAGGGAAAATAAAACTGTTTGGATTTATACCCTGAAATGTAATTGTATTAAGTGAATAAATTATTTTTTCCAGGCAGACTCCAGGTTAAAAGCGCTTAATGCAACATTCAGAGTGAAAAACCCAGACAAGTAAGGTTTTGTTTTAATAACAGTTACAATGTTGTTTTGAATGGTGCCTATCAATCTATTTAATTTTTCATTTCTGAATGTATGCACTTTATTTGCTAAATATTTTAAATAGAAATTCATATTAGTGAAATCCTTTTAAAGTCTAAAACTGATTTTGAAATTTGATGATTTTATTGGGATTAAGGTTGTAAGTAACTGAAGTTTTAGGAAATGAAACCACTGCTTTTTCCTGGAAGGATTTATTAAGTGTTATTGAAGGTATCAGAAAAATGAGGAAAGTAATTTTAATTTCATATAAAATAGGTTTTCTTATTAGACTTTGCTTGTCAGATATGTGCAAAACTCAAGATAATATATTATCTATTTTAATAACAAACTACTTTGAATGCCAAGAAAACTTGATAAGTAAATGCATACTAGTACAATAATTTCATGGAACTATATCTATATGATGGTTACCTGACTTCATTAATGTTAGTTTGGAGTTTGTGAGAGCATTTCTATATTAATGAAGCTGTGTATTCAGAAATAACTTTCCGAAGGGTGGAATCTAGGTATTTAAGATTTGGTTTTGCTCATTCTTTGAATTTGGCAGATAATTCAGGCTCTTCATCATACGGACCTTTGCCTCAAGCTTAGTTCAGCTGTACTTTCCAGTTAGAAATGTGCTTAGGTAGATGGGGTTCTTGGAAAAACCCAAGTTAAAAGACCAAGTTTACGAGGTCTGTTAGAAGTTCGCTAGTCAGGCCTTCAAGCCTTAACTTCTACGTAGTGTACATTTTTAGCAGACAAAGGCCAAATTTGCATAGTCTAATAGCCTGTTATGCTGATTTTCATAAACCGTAACACATTAGAGTAATGCCTCTACTTTTTAATATAACTTTTGAATATAAGATGTAAATATTAATATTTTAAAGTTTTGGTAATTAGGAAATTGTGATGGTAACCATTGAGGTTTTCACTTTTTTAATAGACTTTGTTTCTTAGAGTAGTTTTAGGTTCCTAGGAAAACTAAGTGAAACATCATACAGAGCTCCCATATCCCCTCTGCCCCTACACTTGAACAGCTGTTCCTGGATACACACAGCCACCCCTGTTATCCCTTACCAGCGTGATACCAGGCTGATAAGATTGATCAGCCTGCATTGACTCATCATGATGCCTGTCAAAGTGCATAGTTTACATCAGGGTTCACCCTTGGTGTTATATATTGTATGGATTTTGACACATGTACAATGACATGTATGTATCATTATAGTATTATGAAAAGTATTTTCACTGTGCTAAAAATCCTCTTTGCTCTCCCTTTTTATCTCTTCCTTCCCATAACCCTAACAACCACTGATCTTTTTACTGTTTCCATAGTTTTGCCTTTTCCAGAATGTTGTATCATAGTACGGGGCATTTTCAGACAGACATTTGCTTTACAGTATGCATTTAAGATTCCGCTGAGGTTTTAATAAAGGTTATGACATCCATAGTATATAAGAAGTGTTGTCTAGATTAAGAACTAAAAGGTTAGACATCCATAGTATATAAGAAGTGTTGTCTAGATTAAGAACTAAAATCATGTCACCTTCCAAAAAAAGCTTTGGAAAATGTAAGCGGCAGAGTTTACAACATTGGTGAATGTACATTCGTTACAGGAGCGTGTAAATGAGACAATTTAATATTTTAATGCTACTGTTAGTCAAGTGTTTTTTTAAAAAATGTCAATTGTATGTTTGTCTTCCCTTTTCTGACCTACCATCTTTTCTAGTTTGCTAAATTTTATTTAATATCCATATTATAGAATTTTAAATGTGATACGGCCAATAACATAACCAGGGCAGTTATTTGCTCCTAATTTCTTGTTAAAGTATATAATTAGTAATAGAATTTGTTTGCCTTAAGTTTTAGATTAGAGAATTATCTGTATCGGTCATTGTTGTAACAGATTTTTAATATATAGAATCTCTGTTCTAGGTCTAGCTGGCCCAGTAGATTAGTTATTATTCATAGTACTACTAAAATAGTTTATATCACTAAAACACTTTCTTTCTGTTCTTTCTTAAAATCTAGAAAACCAGAAAGAGTTTCAGAGGGAATACCAAAATAATACCTCCTTCATGCACGTTTATTTTTCTTTCCTTTTTTTTTTTTTTCATTTATTTTTATTAGCTGGATATTTTTCTTTAGACTGTTCAAAGTAGTGAGGAGGAGGACCTTGAGTCTTCTACTTCCTTGTGGCAGTATTTGGCTGATATTTAGGAGGTAAACCAAGTGATTAATAGAATGTATGGGATGAAAGAGAGGAGAAGGAAATACAGGTGACACCTAGGTTTCATTCTTTAAACTGCTAGGGAGTACAGAGGAGAGAGATTTGATGGGATAGGGGAAGATAAGTTGAACTTTGGATATGTAAGCAGCTACTAATATCTGCTAGCCAGTTGGCATTATAGATAGAGCATTTTGGAGAGAGTTTGGGGCTGGAGATAGATATTTGGAGTTCAGCAGCATGTAGATCATAATCGTGAAGCTTTGTGAATAAGTCACATAGAGTACAGGCTTCCCACATGACGCTAGTGGTAAAGAACCTGCCTACCATTGCAGGAGACCCAGGATGATCCCTGGGTCAGGAAGATCCTCTGGAGGAGGGCATGGCAACCAACTCCAGTATTCTTACCCGGAGAATCCCACGGACAGAGAAGCCTGGTGGGCTAGAGTCCATAGAGTCGCAAAGAGTCAGTCACAACTGAAGTGACTTGGCCCGCATGCACGCACATAGAGTATGTAGACCAAATGATTGGTTGTAATATGGGCAAGGACCTAGGGCTGAACTCTAAAGAAACCAGTGCTTGAAGGGTGTTTTCCATAGTATAATCTGAAGATTACCAGCATCTGAACCCTGTGAGTGAGTTTGTTATAAATTCAGATTCCTGAGTCCCACTAGGGCCTCTGTGTACAGTTATGGTGATTACTCATGCCTTCTTTTACTGAGGCCCTCAGTTGTGTTTCTGGCAAATATTTTAGGAGTCTTTTGCACATTAAAGTTGACAGTATAAGAGATTGGTGAAGGAAGTCAGTCCTGCAAAGGAGACTTTAGGAGTGACCAGAGAGTAAAAGGAAAAATTAACAATGATGTCAAGGAAATAAGTTTTTGAGGAGGGTGAAGTAAGCTGTTACATTGCTGGAAGAGCAGTGTTATATGAAGTTTCAGGTCGTTACGGAGAATGGCAGGTATTAGATTATAGAAACAAAGATTACTGAGCAGCATGAAGATTAGGGTTCGAGATCATGAGTTTATGTTTATACCAAAAGATTTTTTTAGCACCATAAATTTTCTCCTGTTTTCTTTTTTTCCCAAGTAATTTTTCATACCAACAAATTTTATCTGTATCTCAGTTCCACGGTATTAATTATAAAGTATGACATCTTTCCTTGGCTTTAAAAATATCTAAAGAAAATGTGGTTATTTAATTTAAGAGCTCTTTTTTTTTTCATTTATTTTTATTAGTTGGAGGCTAATTACTTTATAATATTGTAGTAGTAATTTTAGAACTTTTTGAGTTTGTATCAGTGTGTAAATGTTTAAGGCTAGCATATGGTTAAATAGAGTCAGTCTCATTATTCTCAGGAACTGCTGTTTTGTCTTTCAGTTTTTGACTGCTTTTCATGAAAAAAATGATGTTTTGTTTCCTATTTCAGGAGATTTATTGAACTAAAACACTATAGTGATGAACTCCAATCTGTCATCTCACATCTCCTTCGAGTCAGAGCTGTAAGTGGTCACCAGAATCTTTTTGACAGGTGTTTTTATGGAAGTGCTTCTCATTTAATCATTATGTTTTTAAGTAATGGAAGATATTTATGATGAATAACTGATTTTTATATTCAAATTTGGTGTGTTATTCACCTAAATTGCATTTTTTTTAATTGTGAAATTTTTTCTGGCATAGATAACTTAGAGAATTTTAACCTATTGTTTTCTCTGTAGTCTTTGTATGGTTTCTTGTTTTTTTTTTTTCCCCTTAGTATATGGTTGTTTTGACAAACATTTATCAAAGGGCCTGCCATTTTAGCATTGAATATAATTGTGTGACTTTGATCTACCTATTCTTTTTTTCTTTCAAGATTTTTTTTTAAGGTTGGTAAATAGTTAATATTAAGTCATTCTGTGTCTGTGCTCTTATATTATCCTAAATAAACTTATGTAGGGTAATGGTCTGCTATGACATGAGGAACTAGAAATATACCAGTGATGATTGTACTTAGCTGTAGAGTTTGGCTGTAATAGACATGGAGAAATATATTTTTGGGTGGATTAATGTAGTATCTGAAAAATGTTGTATCATCCACTCTGGTCCTTTGGGGTAACCTAGAGAAAACCTTAGAACTGGTCTTAAAGGCTTTGAAAGACACTGAGTTACCAGGTCTGGGATCATATCTTACACTCATTGGAATCATCTTGAAATGAAATATATTATCTGGGATTTGTTTTAATGAAAGAGTCTGCTGGTAAAGGGTGCAGAGTGGGGTCAACTTTAGATGCAACTTAATTGGCCATATGATAATTGTTGATGGTTAAGTGTTGGGAAATGGGGTATATCCTACTATTCTCTACTTTCTGTATGTTTGAAGATTTCATAAAAAGTATAAAAATATAAAGTAAGGGAACACTCTTTTTGAAGTATCCTCATATTGGCCCAATCTGTGTAACCATCCAGAGTACTATAGGACTCTTTATGTAAATTGTAAGATACTTTGTAGGAAAAGAAAAAGGTACCTATGAGAATTATTAGGGTAGAGTCAAGAATGGGGTATTGAAAAGGACTCGTGAATTGATGAGATAAAATTTCTAGGCCTCTAGTTGCTTTGAAGTTACCTAAACAAATAAGGCAACAGTTCTTAATGGAAAGTGAAGATGGGGTCAGAGACACCCCAGAAGACTGGAAGAACCCTTCATATTGTTTTGTCTTCTCTGTCAAAAAACCTGGAGAATTTACTTAAATTAGAGGTCTGGCTGATTATGAAAGCTGTATCCTTCTGAAAGACCTTCCACCAAAGGGAAGAGGGGGCACCCTGTGGAAGGTGTCATGCCGCAGGAAGCTGGACAGTGCTGGGGGTCTTGGGTGGGCAGAGGCACGCTGTTAAAGCAGGCACGTGACCAGCTCCAGGTATTGAGAGGTTCTCAAGCAGTCGTTCACATCCAGAAGAAACAAAGGGAAAAGGCAGAAAAACCAACCATAGTCAGATTTTGCAGAAGTGTCAGTGATGAGTGGTGAATTGAACAAAGTGTAACAGTTAAAACCCAGAAAATCTGTAAAGTGTAGGGAATAAGTTTGAATGAGATCTAGAGGAGGGAGGAAATAACTGTCATCACTGTTGTGAAGCTGTGCTGCAGATCATCTAGCCTGCAAGAAGGTATGGGTGATTGCTCTCATAAAGCGAGTAAGAAAATTATCACAGTCAAGGTAGGATATCCAGTGATCATATTTGGCTTTCTGCTGAAAGTATATTTTTGAATGTGATTAATACTTAATGATCTTTAGAGATCATGATAAAATGTAATAGTGATGTTACAGAAAATTTTGAGTCTCGCACACAGCTGTTTCAGTACTTTGTACATTTCATTTTGAGGGCTTCCCTCATGACTCAGTGGTAAAGAATCTGCCTGCTAATGCAGGAGAGGTGCAGGGGACTAGGGTTCGATCCCTGGTTTGGGAAGATCCCCTGGAGAAGGAAATGGCAACCCACTCCAACATTCTTGCCTGGGAAATCCCATGGACAGAGGAGCCTGGTGGGCTACAGTCCATGGGGTTGCAGAAGAACATGACTTAGTGACTAAACATTGCGGCACTTTGTTTTAGCCTTGTTCTAACTATTCTTAACCATGCCAAGCTTGTTTCTGGTCTTTTATTTGCTGTTTCCTGGGCCTGTACCATTCTTCCCCCATGCCCTACCGCCAGGATCCTCTCTTGGCTTATTCTTTTTGTTGTTCAGTTATTGGTTCAAATACCTCTTGAGAGAAATTATCTTTCCTGAGCATCCTATATAAAATGCGGTGCAGGTTTCTATTGTTTCTGTCATTTTCTGTCATTCTGAACTGTTAATTATTTCCTCTACTAGTATATATGTGAGCTTGCAAGAGCAGGAGCTTTGTTTTCTTACTGCTGAATCCTGAGAATAATGTCTGACTCAAATAGCACCCACTATGTATTCATTGAATGGATGAATAAATAAATGTATGTGCTGACAGTTTTATGTTTAAAAAAATCTTGAAAAGCAGTAAGATAAATTGCTTCTTGAACTTAACTATAACCAGCCAAGGGGAGCTGGTTAGTAAGGTATATATGACAGGAACTTCTAAAGAAAATGACCTTGTCATCAAAGAGCTTGTACTATACAAGTAAGAGAATTCTGGGTCTAGATATTTACCCTAGACTTTATGAAAACAGGCTTCAGAAACTTAATTGACCTTAAAGACTGCTTGAGCGCTTCAAAGGAAAGACAGCACTTGATCTGTGAGTCAGATTGAGATTTTGACTGTGTAAATAAGATAAATGCCAGTGAAAAATATGGAATAGCTGAAATCTTGATTGTTCTAGAATTAGGAAAAAGGCTCTTTAATCATTGACAATAACATAAAAGTTAAAAATGGAAGGTTAGAGCCCAACACTTGACAGAATCCTGAAAACAACATAGAGATTGCCACAGGGAGAGCCTTTTTGTAACATTCAGTGTCAGGAGAAGAAGGCTTTAGACACTGTTGGAGACATGATGACTTGTTAACAGATAAAGAGAAAATACAATTATTTGGTTGTCTTTTCTGTTGGGAAAAATTCTTTTGAAAGTCTTGATAGAAAAGGTGAAAAATAAATGACTTACAGGTTAAAGAGTTAATATTTAAGATATTAAAAACAGAACAACCAGAAAGGGTGGGTAGTCTTAAATTGAGAGGAGCTGGAGTTAACACTTGTGTCTGCCGTTTACTAAGTTTTTCAGGCAAATCTAGAGACCTTTTAGAGTTTGTTTTCTTGGAGAGTATCTGCCTTGTACACAGTAGGTACTGCATAAATTTTTGTGACATGAGTGAGTGTGTTATTCATAGAGTTGTGATAATCGGATGAGATCATCCATGTTTCATAAACTAAAACAAAAGGAAAAAATACTAATATCTAATATTTTGAACTGTGGTGTTGGAGAAGACTCTGGAGAGTCCTTTGGACTGCAAGGAAATCAAACCAGTCCATCCTGAAGGAAATCAGTCCTAAGTGTTCATAGGAAGGACTGATGCTGAAGCTAAAACTCCAATACTTTGGCCACCTGGTGCAGAAAACTGATTCATTGGAAAAGACCCTGATGCTGGGAAAGATTGAAGGCAGGAGGAGAAGGGGATGACAGAGGATGAAGATGGTTGGATGGCATCACCGACTCGATGGACATGAGTTTGAGTAAATTCTGGGAGTTGGTGATAGACAGGGAGGCCTAGTGTGCTGCAGTCCATGGGGTCGCAAAGAGTCAGACATGACTGAGGACTGAACTAAACTGAACTGATCTAATATTTATTATCTTTACTGTTGTATGTAAGCCAACCATGGTATGTTATTTTTACCTAATTCTGACAGTGGCCCTTTGAAAGTAGGTGCTGTGACTGTCCCCAGTTTATAGATTAGGAAGCAAATCCCTTTTTTCTTATAATCATATTTGCTGCCTCTCTAGGGGAAATCAAATTTAGAAGGGAAGGAGGATTGCTTAACTTTGCTAATATGCTAACTGTGTAAGCTGAAATTATTGAGCTACTATTTAACATTTAATTTGTAGTCATTTGTATAGATAGCAATATGTAGTGTTTATGAAATATTCGGTGATGGCAATGTAAAGTCTTACAACTCCTTTGGGAAAGATTTTAGCAGTAGTGTCATGAGTCTTAAATTCCATGATCATTGCCTCCTTAGGAGGTAATTTCAGAAGAAAAACTATGTGTCCAGATTTTTAAAGTAAGATCATTTAATAGACTGTCATAAAACTTTATGTCCTTTTTAACATTTAATCTGTTACTACTTCAGTATGGATAGGGAAGGCATTCTTAGCATAGATCCAAATGATTCAGAGCTGGGGAGGATGATATGATGAGTCTGTCAGGTTTCTTCTGTTGTCATATTATTTGCTAGGTGTCAGTCCTCTCCTGTCAGTTGTTAAGATGATCAGTTTTCAAAAAGAAAGACTTGTCAACAGAATTGAAATTGAGTGGCAGTCTAGACTAAATCATTGGGTCTAGCCCCTTTTCCCTGGCACCACGATTCTTGATTACCAGTGACCATTGAATTAATCTGGTTTTGTTGTTGTTTAGTCCCTGTGTTGCATCTGACTCTTTTGTGACACCATGGACTGTAGCCCCCCAGGCTCCTCTGTCCATGGAACTTCCCAGGCAAGAATACTGGAATGGGTTGCCATTTCCTTCCCAGGGGGACCTTCCTGATCCAGGGATTGAACCCACATCTCCTGTGTCTCCTGCATTGGCAGGTGAATTCTTTACCACTGAGCCATAGGTTTTAATAATTCATGATTTATTTCCTGGCCATCTTTATCTTTACTTTTCTGTAGAAATGCTCATCTTTGGTCTATAGTTTTTCTTTGCTTCATCTTTTTTCTCACTGCCTGATGATCTGGGTACTAGTCATCTCGTGTTTTAGCTGGCTAGCACAATTTACTTCCATGAGTAGTTGATAGCAGAAACATCACTGCTGGTTCAGTAACAACTGCTGAGTGGCTCTGTGTTGCCTCATTCTCTAGTAGAGTGGTTCCTTGTGTAGTTGCTCATCTTTCTGGCGTATGAGAACTCTTGCCTCTTTTTGTCATGCTCTGTGGACTAGAGTATTTTCCAGAGCTCTAATTATTATGATTGAAGCTTTTTTTGTTATCTGCTGCACGGAGTGATAAAATTTAAAGAAAAAAACCAAAACTTTTAAACACCTGGGATTCAAAAACTTTTTCTTGCACGTTTATTTTGGATATGTATTTTGTATTTAAGTTGCTCTAGTTTTTATACTTATGTGGTTATTTAACAAATTCTTTCCCTCTTTTCCATGCTTTGTATCTTAGGTAGATGATAAAATGCTCAGCTTTCAGGAGGAGGTTTGATTTTTCAAAGTATAAGAATCTAGAAAAGTTAGTAGTTTAGAATGGCATTTTCCATTTTGTCATCTTCAGAATGCTAGTCCTATTAGATGGTCCCTACTGCAAATCACGCCCTCTGAGTAGTCCGTATTCATATATAGTGTTAAAGATCTAAAAAGTCAGGTAGAAAAAAAAAACCACAACAACCTGTTAAACTTTAAATCTCATTGTTTCCAAAATTTATTTAACAATGGAACCCATTTAAACAACCAGTCAACACTCTGTAGGACTCTCAAAAAATAATTGGGAAATAACGTCCCAGAGTAACTAGTTTAGAGGTCTGCGGACAACCCTGAAAAATTTCAAGCATAGTAAAGACTGTGAATTTTGTACTGGAAATGGAGTCTAGTACAGGAGTTGGCAGACTTTTTCTGAAGGCCAGATAGTAATTATTTTCACCTGCTTGGGTCGTATGGCCCTTGTTGAAGCTGTTCAACTCTGCTGTGAAAGCAGCCATAGGTAGTGCTAACGTGAGTGAGTATGACTGTTCTAGTAAGACTACACAGAAACTAGCTGTAGACCAGTAGTGTGCTGTCCCCTCATCTAGCAGGTGTGTGTTTTTTCATAGCAGGTCAAGGAGAGATGGAAAGCACTTTATGATCCTCTTGTACCAGCTCCGAGTTTTACAGTGTGGTTTACTGACTTTTAAGCTGAAGTGTTGAACAGGTTAAGATTTGTATGGCTAATGCCTGTTTCCTCAAATTACTCATATTTGAGTAAGGAATTTGGCCACCTGATTCGAAGAGCTGACTCATTTGCAAAGACCCTGATGCTGGGAAAGATTGAGGGCAGGAGGAGAAGGGATGATGAGATAGTTGGTTGGATGGCATCACTGACTCAATGGACATGAGTTTGGGTAAACTCTGGAAGTTGGTGACGGACAGGGAGGCCTGGCATGCTGTGGTTCATGTGGTTGCAAAGAGTCGGACATGACTGAGTGACTGAACTGAACTGAACTGAGTAAGGAGTTAGAGGGGCAGTTCATCTTCAGGATTTACATTGAGAAATTGTATACTAGAAATTTTTTTTAAAGAGTTTTATGTGGCATTGACTTCTGGTCTTCTATTTCATGTCCATAACACTTTGAAGAAAGGAGATTACCACACACAGTGTTTTTTGTCTTTTGCAAGATGTGTGTGAATGATGGGGTGGTATGTGTTTTAATCTCAGTGAGCTAAACTGTAATTCTACTGTTATTAAATGGTTAGAAGGCATCAATTTGATAAAATAGCACAGGAAGTATATTGCATGTGTGTAGCATTTATGTATAAAACTATCAATAATACAATTGAAAATGTTTATATTCTCTTCCCTGGTAGATCCCTCTTTGGGGACTTTTATCTTAAGGAAGCAGTCTGAAATTTGGAAAAAGCTGTACTCTCAGAGAATGCTTATTTAATACAGAAAAAAGTTAGGGATAACTGAGTACCTGACAAGGACTGTCTATATAATTTATATACCACTAGGTGAAATTTTATGCATCTATTTTTTTAACTGGTATCTATTAAAAATAATATTAACCTGCTGGATAAAAATATTAGCACTCTTGGTATAGGAAATTTTAAAATGTTAATTAAAACATATATATATGTACATATATATATGAAAAAATTATATAAATATGATGACAACATTAGTTTTTTCCCCCATGATGAGACTTTGGGAGATTTAAGCTCTTTTTTTTTTGCATATTTTTCAAGTTGTACTAAGTATACATTTGTATTTTTTAATGAAGATAAAATGTATTTTTAGTAATCTGTTTATAACTTATAAACAGTGAACGGTTTATAACTAATAGCAATTTCTTTTGAATATTTCTTCCAGAGAGTAGCAGATCGACTATATGGTGTGTATAAAGTACATGGGAATTACGGGCGAGTTTTCAGGTATGCATTATACAAACTTTTATAATAAACAACAGTTAGCTCTAATCAGCTTTTTGCATAAGAACTGTAATTCTTGAATCTATATGAGTCTGCAAAGCAAAAGATAATTTTTTTTTTAATTTTTATTTATTTTTTTTTTTATTATTCTTTTTTTTAAAATTTATTTATTTATTTTTTTTTATCACAACCATAGTGTATCTTTTTTTTTTTTTTACATGTATTCCCCATCCCGGTCCCCCCTCCCACCTCCCTCTCCACCCAATCCCTCTGGGTCTTCCCAGTGCACCAGGCCCGAGCACTTGACTCATGCACCCAACCTGGGCTGGTGATCTGTTTCACCTTAGATAATATACGTGTTTCAATGCTGTTCTCTTGAAACATCCCACCCTCGCCTTCTCCCAGAGTCCACAAGTCTGTTCTATACATAGGAGTCTCTTTTTCTGTTTTGCACATAGGGTTAGAAATAGAAAATAGAAAGGAAATAGAAGAGAAAAACGAAAAAAACACTTTTTTCCCTAAATAAAAAAATCGTAAAAATATATGAAAATGAAAGTTGAGGACTAATGGGGGAGTAATAGGGAATTTTAAAAGAAAATAAAAGAGAAAAAATAAAAGAAATTAATAAGGGAGAAAAAAAATTTTTTTAAATTAAAAAAAATATATATATATATATCTAGGAATTTCTCTGGAGTTGTTGCAGTTAGTATAGGTTCAGTTCCATTTCAGATAGCTCCTCTTTCCAGCTTACACTTCTCGATATCTGTAGGCCCCTTCCTGTGTAGTCGGTGTTACCTTCAGGGATTTTAATCTGTTGCACCAGTCCTTTCTGAAGTGGTTCCCTTTGTTTATTTGGCTTCTGTTTGCCGTCTCTTTGGTGTCTAATTTCCGCCCTGACACAGGCGGGTGGAGGTGATCTCTTATTTCGGTTCTCTAGTTCAGTTTAGTCCTGCTACGGGGAGGGCGGGGCGCTGCAGACAGATACCGCTCTGTGTGGATAGCACTCACCGTGTTCCGGTCACACTGGGTTTGCCCCACTCACGGGTGTCAGTGCTTTCGCCGTCTACACTGCTCAGGCTCCCGGCTGCTCTATATGGAGCGGGCCCTGCGTTGAGTGCGGTTCCAGTTTTCAGGTACTCCACAAAAGCGCAGATTCGGTTGCGCCTGCGTTTTGTGCCTTCCCCGGCCTGAGCGGCCCAGGCAGCCAGAGGCTTGGGCGCACTCTCCCCGGGTACGGCGCGCCTTGTCCCTCCGCGGTGAGCGGCTCAGGCAGCCAGAGGCTTGGGCGTACTCTCGCTGGGTGCAGCGCGCCTTGTCCCTCCGCGGCGGGCAGCTCAGGCAGCCAGAGGCTTGGGCGCACTCTCCCCGGGTACGGCGCGCTTTTTCCCTCCGCGGCCCCAGCGCGCACCGCCAGTCGGGTCTCAGAAGTCTTTAGATAGGAACCGGGGGCCTGTTTGCAGTGTGGGAGGGGGTGGCTTCTCTGGGGCTGAGTTTGCCCTTTTCCCCTCCGCCCTGCCTCCAACCTCCAGCGGGGATGGGCCGGCTCTTCTCTGGACTTTCTCAGGCCCTTTGTTTTGCCAACCGCCGGCAGTGTGTTCGGGCCTGTTAATTTTGACCCTTGCTATCCCACAGTTTAAAAAAGCTCCCTCGGATTGCTCTCAGGGTCTTCGGGCCGGTCCTTACCCTAAGCAATGCCGCCCGCTCCTCTCCGTCCCGCCCCCGCTTGTTGCTGGCGGGTACGGGCGTCTGGGGTACTTTTCTGCTGGGAGTTGCTTTTAGGCACGTAATCTGTGGGCCTTGTTTAATTTTTCCTCCCAGTTAGATTGCCGAAAACTTCCCCCAGTCCCGCCAGTGCGAGGGTTTCCTGGTGATTGGAAACTTCCTCTATTAAGACTCCCTTCCCGGGACGGGTCTCCGTCCGTAGCTCTCCTGAGTCCCTTTTTATCTTTTATATTTTGTCCTACCTCCCTTCGAAGACAATGGGCTGCTTTTCTGGGCGCCTGATGTCCTCTGCTAGCGATCAGAAGTTGTTTTGTGAAATTTGCTCAGCATTCAAATGTTCTTTCGATGAATTTGTAGGAGAGAAAGTGGTCTCCCCGTCCTATTCCTCCGTCATCTTGGCTCCTTCCCTTTTGTTTTTTTGTTTCACTTTATAATTTCTGAGGCTTTTGCAAGATGGGTTTTTCAGTCTTGGGGTAATATTAGTGTAAATTAGAATGTTTACTTATATATGTAACTTGCATATGTTGGTAATTTTTGAGACTTTTCTTTTGTGAAGTTTTGTTAATTATTTTAGTTGTGAAATTTTAGTAGTTATTATCCATATCTCCTTGTGAGAAAGACTGTGCTTCCTAATGTTCTGTCCTTTTGATTGAAGTAATAAAAAATAATTCATTTAACATGTTTGAATAGGTAGTATATTCATATAATACAAAACTCAATAGGAACAAAAGCTTATATAGTGAAAAGTCTCTGCTCCTTCTTGCCAACCTCCCAGGTCTCTTCCTCTGAGGCAATTACTAGCAGTTTCTGAGTTACTTGTGTATCCTTCCAGTAAAATGTATTGCAGCACTGTCAATGTATATATTAACACACAAACAAATGCATTCTACTCCCCTCCCCCCCCCTTTTTTTAACATGGAAAGGGAGCATATTGTGTATATTGCTATGTTCACTTCTTTTATGTTGCTTTTTTTAACTTAACAATTGTTATCAGCAAATAACTGTATTGGGCTTTATTGAGCTGGAGCATCATAATTTATTTAACCAGTTTCTTCTTGATAATTATTATCTAATCTGTTGCATTCAGTGCTTTAATTAATGTTCATGTTCATGTCATTTCACACATGATTGAGTATATATGTAGGGTAAAATTCTACAAATGTTGTTACTGGATCTAAGGATAATTGAGTTGGTAGATACTGCCAAATTTCCCTGTATGGAAGATATTCAACTCCCATCATCAAAAGGTTAATATCTATTTCCTCAGATCCTCACCCAAACAATTTTTAGTGAACTTTTGTCTTTATCAGCCTGATGGTGAAAAATGCCTTCTCACTGTAGTTATAATTTGTATTACTCTAATTATGAATGAAGTTAAACTTTTTTCCTGATGATTAATAGCCTCTATTTTATTTTATTCTTTTAATTTCATAAACTGTCTGTATGTATCTTTGGCCGTTTTTTCCTGTTGGGCTGGTAGCCTGTTTTCTTATTTGATTTGCAGGAGTTGTTTATCTTTTAGGAGAATTATACCTTTGTGAAATGGATTGCAACTTTCCCCCCACTTTGTCATATGTCTCTTGACTTTTCTTATGTGGCTTTTAATATACAAAAATATTCAATCTGTTAAATTCAGTTGACATGCAGGTGATTAGTTTTTTTTCCTTTATAAAGTCATAGCCTCTGACTTTTTGTATATCTTAGTAAGGTCTCCCCCTTATGAATAATAAAGCATACATTTTTCATTTCTTCTGTATTTTTGTGGTTCTGTCAATTTTGGATTCATCTGAAACTTATCTGAATATCAGTGTTAAGACGTAGCACACACAGCCAAAAAAAAAGAATCATATTGTAAACAGCCAGCACTAAAAAAGGATTAACTGTTGCTATTACTATTTTGAGAGTAAACATGAGTAAAATTATCAGAAGGAGGTATGTTTATTTATGTTTGTTTTCCTTCCTTGACAGTTTTAAAAACCATGTGAGGGTTTTCCTTTCTAGTATTATAAGCATATAATCTTGATATTTCAAGAACAATTTATAAAGACTACAGATTAACAGAATCATAGTGTTTTAATTTTTTTATGATATTATGCAGTTGAAGGTGTTTATTACACATTCTTTACATAGCAGAAAAATTGGAAACAATCTTGAATGGTTCAGAAAATGGTTAAAAAAATTAAGAGTTGCCACTGAAACAATGCTGAGAACAAATTAATAATGTGGGGAAATACTGTTAACAAGAAAAAACATGGTACAAAGTTGCATCTACTACATGATCTCAGCCATATTAAAATAAGTAAAAATAACTAGAAGAAAATATATCAAATTATACCATCTCTTAGTATTTAAGATTATAGATCTTTCCCCCCTTTATTATAATATGTACATCTTCCATAAAAAGGAATTTTTATTTCAGGAATTTCACTGAAATGGTAACAAAATCATCTGTGGTTCCAGTAGACTTTGTTGTGCAACTTTAGTGCAAGTTACTGAAGTTTTATGGTACACCCAGTATTTCTGTACAGTTGTCTTTTTCTGCTCCCTATTAAGATAGTGACATGTAATCATGTGTGGTTATCACAGTCATTCATGTAGAGTTTAAAAATATACATGCCTCAGCTCTATCCTAGAAATTCTGATTAAGTAGATCAAGAGCAGGACAAGCATTCATAGTTTCTGAAAGCTCCACGGTTGATTTAAATAGGCACTGTAGCTGAGAAAGTTGTCTGTAAGCAGAAACTGTTTTGTATGATACTAACTTTGTACTTAACTGCAGATATAAACTTTTGAATTAGTATTTTTAAAGCCTTCACTTGCATTTAGTTGTTAAACTTCAGGGGAAAGGAGCATATTTGAGTCACAGAAAATAAATGGTCAAGAAAAAAATAAAATAGATATGATACTGTTTAAAAGTTAACTAGGAAAAAAACATAAAAGATTCTGTTTAATAATATTGCATATCCAATTCATGACAGTTTTGGTTTTATCTCTTTCTTCATAGTGAGTGGAGTGCCATAGAAAAAGAAATGGGTGATGGACTGCAGAGTGCTGGTCATCATATGGATGTGTAAGTACCCAGAGAATTTAAGGTAGAACTGGAGGTGACATTTAGTGCAAAAGTGTTAGTGATTCTTCTGTTTTTAAAAAGGTTACTGGCATTTGTATTGTGCTTTCTGTATACAGATTTGACTTAAAGAAGTTTATCTCAGGAATGCAAGATTAACATTTAAAAATCTTTCAGTTCAGTTCAAATGTTAGCAGAACAGAGAAGAAAATCCAGATGTTCATTTCAGTGTATGTAGAAAGCATTTTAACATCCATTCACAGTAAAAATTTTCCTCAAACTAGGAATATAAAGAATTTCCTCATTGTAAAACATACAGCTAATACTGTACTTAATAGTAAAATATTGATGTTTTCTCCTAAAATCAGGAATAAGGCAAGATTGTCTGCTCCACCACTACTGGTGGAAGTGGTAGCAGAGGTCCTGGTCAGCGCAGTAAGGCAAGAAGATCAGATAAGTGGCATACGTCTTAGAAAGGAAGAAGGAAAACTGTCCTGCCTTTATTGGCAGTTAACAGGATTTTTCTTTTTTATTTATTTATTTATTTTCATTTATTTTTATTAGTTGGAGGCTAATTACTTTACATCATTGCAGTGGTTTTTGTCATACATTGAGATGAATTAGCCATGGATTTACATGTATTCCCAATCCCGGTCCCCCCTCCCACCTCCCTCTCCACCCGATCCCTCTGGGTCTTCCCAGTGCACCAGGCCCGAGCACTTGTCTCATGCACCCAACCTGGGCTGGTGATCTGTTTCACCCTAGATGATATACGTGTTTCGATGCTGTTCTCTTGAAACATCCCACCCTCGCCTTCTCCCAGAGTCCACAAGTCTGTTCTATACATCGGAGTCTCTTTTTCTGTTTTGCATATAGGGTTATCATTATCATCTTTCTAAATTCCATATATATGTGTTAGTATACTGTAATGGTCTTTATCTTTCTGGCTTACTTCACTCTATATAATGGGCTCCAGTTTCATCCATCTCATTAGAACTGATTCAAATGAATTCTTTTTAATGGCTGAGTAATATTCCATGGTGTATATGTACCACAGCTTCCTCATCCATTGGTCTGCTGATGGGCATCTAGGTTGCTTCCATGTCCTGGCTATTATAAACAGTGCTGTGATGAACATTGGGGTGCACGTGTCTCTTTCAGATCTGGTTTCCTCGGTGTGTATGCCCAGAAGTGGGATTGCTGGGTCATATGGCAGTTCTATTTCCAGCTTTTTAAGAAATCTCCACGCTGTTTTCCATAGTGGCTGTACTAATTTGCATTCCCACCAACAGTGTAAGAGGGTTCCCTTTTCTCCACACCCTCTCCAGCATTTATTGCTTGTAGACTTTTGGATAGCAGCCATCCTGACTGGTGTGTAATGGTACCTCATTGTGGTTTTGATTTGCATTTCTCTGATAATGAGTGATGTTGAGCATCTTTTCATGTGTTTGTTAGCCATCTGTATGTCTTCCTTGGAGAAATGTCTGTTCAGTTCTTTGGCCCCTTTTTTGATTGGGTCATTTATTTTTCTGGAGTTGAGCTGGAGGAGTTGCTTGTATATTTTTGAGATTAATCCTTTGTCTGTTGCTTCGTTTGCTATTATTTTCTCCCAATCTGAGGGCCGTCTTTTCACCTTGCTTATAGTTTCCTTTGTTGTGCAAAAGCTTTTAAGTTTCATTAGGTCCCATTTGTTTATTTTTGCTTTTGTTTCTAAAATTCTGGGATGTGGGTCATAGAGGATCCTGCTGTGATTTATGTCGGAGAGTGTTTTGCCTATGTTCTCCTCTAGGAGTTTTATAGTTTCTGGTCTTACATTTAGATCTTTAATCCATTTTGAGTTTATTTTTGTGTATGGTGTTAGAAAGTGTTCTAGTTTCATTCGTTTACAGGTGGTTGACCAGTTTTCCCAGCACCACTTGTTAAAGAGGTTGTCTTTTTTCCATTGTATATCCTTGCCTCCTTTGTCGAAGATAAGGTGACCATAGGTTCGTGGATTTATCTCTGGGCTTTCTATTCTGTTCCATTGATCTATATTTCTGTCTTTGTGCCAGTACCATACTGTCTTGATGACTGTGGCTTTGTAGTCTAGTCTGAAGTCAGGCAGGTTGATTCCTCCAGTTCCATTCTTCTTTCTCAGGATTACTTTGGCTATTCGAGGTTTTTTGTATTTCCATACAAATTGTGAAATTATTCATTCTAGTTCTGTGAAAAATACCGTTGGTAGTTTGATAGGGATTGCATTGAATCTGTAGGTTGCTTTGGGTAGTATAGCCATTTTGACAATATTGATTCTTCCAATCCATGAACACGGTATATTTCTCCATCTGTTTGTGTCCTCTTTGATTTCTTTCATCAGTGTTTTATAGTGTTCTATGTATAGGTCTTTTGTTTCTTTAGGTAGATATACTCCTAAGTATTTTATTCTTTTTGTTGCAGTGGTGAATGGTATTGTTTCCTTAATTTCTCTTTGTTTTCTCATTGTTAGTGTATAGGAATGCAAGAGATTTCTGTGTGTTAATTTTATATCCTGCAACTTTACTGTATTCGTTGATTAGCTCTAGTAATTTTCTGGTAGAGTCTTTAGGATTTTCTATGTAGAGGATCATGTCATCTGCAAACAGAGAGAGTTTCACTTCTTCTTTTCCTATCTGGATTCCTTTTACTTCTTTTTCTGCCCTGATTGCTGTGGCCAAAACTTCCAAAACTATGTTGAATAGTAGTGGTAAGAGTGGGCACCCTTGTCTTGTTCCTGATTTCAGGGGAAATGCTTTCAGTTTTTCACCATTGAGGGTGATGCTTGCTGTGGGTTTGTCATATATAGCTTTTATTATGTTGAGGGATGTTCCTTCTATTCCTGCTTTCTGGAGAGTTTTAATCATAAATGGATGTTGAATTTTATCAAAGGCTTTTTCTGCATCTATTGAGATAATCATATGGTTTTTATCTTTCAATTTGTTAATGTGGTGTATTACACTGATTGATTTGCAGATATTAAAGAATCCTTGCATTCCTGGGATAAAGCCCACTTGGTCATGATGTATGATTTTTTTAATATGTTGTTGGATTCTGTTTGCTAGAATTTTGTTAAGGATTTTTGCATCTATGTTCATCAGTGATATTGGCCTGTAGTTTTCTTTTTTTGTGGCATCTTTGTCTGGTTTTGGAATTAGGGTGATGGTGGCCTCATAGAATGAGTTTGGAAGTTTACCTTCTTCTGCAATTTTCTGGAAGAGTTTGAGTAAGATAGGTGTTAGCTCTTCTCTAAATTTTTGGTAGAATTCAGCTGTGAAGCCATCTGGTCCTGGGCTTTTGTTTGCTGGAAGATTTCTGACTACAGTTTCGATTTCCTTGCTTGTGATGGTTTTGTTAAGATCTTCTATTTCTTCCTGGTTCAGTTTTGGAAAGTTATACTTCTCTAAGAACTTGTCCATTTCTTCCAAGTTGTCCATTTTATTGGCATAGAGCTGCTGGTAGTAGTCTCTTATGATCCTTTGTATTTCGGTGTTGTCTGTTGTGATCTCTCCGTTTTCCTTTCTAATTTTGTTAATTTGGTTCTTCTCCCTTTGTTTCTTAATGAGTCTTGCTAATGGTTTGTCAATTTTGTTTATTTTTTCAAAAAACAAGCTTTTAGCTTTGTTGATTTTTGCTATGGTCTCTTTAGTTTCTTTTGCATTTATTTCTGCCCTAATTTTTAAGATTTCTTTCCTTCTACTAACCCTGGGGTTCTTCATTTCTTCCTCCTCTAGTTGCTTTAGGTGTAGAGTTAGGTTATTTATTTGACTTTTTTCTTGTTTCTTGAGGTAGGCCTGTAATGCTATGAATCTTCCCCTTTAGCACTGCTTTTACAGTGTCCCATAGGTTTTGGGTTGTTGTGTTTTCATTTTCATTCATTTCTATGCATATTTTGACTTCTTTTTTGATTTCTTCTATGATTTGGTTATTCAGAAGCGTGTTGTTTAGCCTCCATATGTTTGAAGTTTTAGTAATTTTTTCCTGTAATTAATCTAATCTTACTGCACTGTGGTCAGAAAAGATGACTGGAATGATTTCAACCTTTTTGAATTTACCAAGACTAGATTTATGGCCCAGGATGTGATCTGTTCTGGAGAAGGTTCCGTGTGCACTTGAGAAAAAGGTGAAGTTGATTGTTTTGGGGTGAAACGTCCTATAGATGTCAATTAGGTCTAGCTGGTCCATTGTGTCCTTTAAAGTTTGTGTTTCCTTGTTCATTTTCTGTTTAGTTGATCTATCCATAGTTGTGAGTGGGGTATTAAAGTCTCCTACTGTTATTGTGTTACTATTAATTTCCTCTTTCATACTCGTTAGCGTTTGCCTTACATATTGCGGTGCTCCTATGTTGGGTGCATATATATTTATAATTGTTATATCTTCTTCTTGGATTGATCCTTTGATCATTATGTAGTGTCCTTCTTTGTCTCTTTTCACAGTCTTTATTTGAAAGTCTATTTTATCTGATATGAGTATTGCGACTCCTGCTTTCTTTTGGTCTCCGTTTGCGTGGAATATTTTTTTCCAGCCCTTCACTTTTACTCTGTATGTGTCCCTTGCTTTGAGGTGGGTCTCTTGTAGACAGCATATATAGGGGTCTTGCTTTTGTATCCATTCAGCCAGCCTTTGTCTTTTGGTTGGGGCATTCAACCCATTTACATTGAAGGTAATTATTGATAGGTATGGTCCCATTGCCATTTATTTTGTTGTTTGGGGTTCACGTTTATACCACCTTTCTGTGTTTCCTGTCTAGAGAAGATCCTTTAGTATTTGTTGAAGAGCTGGTTTGGTGGTGCTGAATTCTCTCAGCTTTTGCTTGTCTGTAAAGCTTTTGAGTTCTCCTTCATATCTGAATGAGATCCTTGCTGGGTAGAGTAATCTAGGTTGTAGGTTATTCTCTTTCATTACTCTAAGTATGTCCTGCCATTCCCTTCTGGCCTGAAGGGTTTCTATTGATAGATCAGCTGTTATCCTTATGGGAATCCCTTTGTGTG